TATTATTATTATTAAATGTCTAATGTGTAAATGCTTATTAATATTAAATAAATATTATGTGTATTATATATATATTTCCGTTATTTATTTATTTTTTTAGCGAAACCGTGCGATCAAACCGAGCCTCGATTATCGTAAGTATCGAACCGAGAGAACCCCTATTCCGTGCCCGAAGACCCGCGCGTTCAGCATGACTCCCGCCTAATAACCGACCCATGTGTTATCTTGGATGGCAAGTTTATTTTTTTGAGAAAACCTAGGTCTATTAATAAGTCGTCAAACCCTCTCTTCTCTCTTCACTCGTGCAGATCCTATCTCTCTCGCTTATTCTCTTCTCACGCAGCAGAGAAATAAATTTCTCGTTCGCTCATAATCTCTCACTCACTCTCTTCTCCAACCATCACCTCCATCACCCTCACCGATCACCACCATCACGCCACCTTGCTCCTCCGCGAGACGCTGTCGAGCCTGTGACAGCGCACCAACGACCCTCGTTCGACCGTCTCTCGTCCCTTTTGTGCAAGTATCCCCGAGAACGGTATCAAGGCTGTTCATCCCTTTATTTGTAATGTATATATGTGATATAGATGGATACCTTGGTGATTATTACTTGTTAGGGTTAAATATTATGTGATTCATGTGGGGATTTTATTGATTGTTGTGAGATCATACGAATTGATGTCCCTTTCGGCTGCTGTTATGACCCTGAAAAACTCGTTGTATGAGAATCTGGTCTTCATATGATATGTAGTATTTTCTGTTGGATTTCTCTGGACTTTGGAATCATGTGATTCCAATTTGAATCGAATACGTTATGAGTTTTGTAAAATTGTCGCGCAAATAGTTTTTATTAAAACCCAACAGCTTGTGTTTATTTTATGTTTGACCTGTTTATCATGTCTTAATGTGCTCAAATAAAAATGTAATCTGCATGAAATTTAAAGGTCTATTTCTTAGCTTTCTGATGAGATAAAGTTCATGCTGTTATGTGGTCTATAGTATGAGTTAGAGTCAATTTTCTGAAGTTTTGGGTGTATCCTGTTTTGGTTGTGGGCAGTTTTTATGAATCAAGTATTTTGTGTTTAAACTCCATGATAACATCATTATATGCCAATGTGATATTCAGAAAAGTTGTCTATAATCATGTTTCTATCTGTTGGTTTTTTAATCATGTCATTTGGAGGTCTGTAGCTAAAATTATTCAATAATTACTGAGGCTCTGCATGAATAATTTTCCAGTTTTTTTGACTGCATCTAATTTAAAATGTTTGTCAAAATATATCTTGGTAAATGACCTTATCTGCTGTTGTGTTCTAAATAAAAGTTGTAGGGCTGCCTCTTAGCTTTCTAATGATGCCAGAATCATGTCAATATGTTATGTACAGAATGAGTTATGTCCATTTTTCTGAAACTGTGCACAACATGTTCATATTTCCCGGACTGCAATCAGGTTCTTCATGTTAGTCGATTTTTGACCTACTGAATGTCATTATTTGATCATGAGATCTTCTTGAAAGTTGTAGGTGCATGTCTTAGGTTTAATTTGAGACTGTAATAATGTTCAGTGGAATTATGTGCTGATAGTTATGTTAATTTTAAAAACGCTGCCCGGGTTAAGTTTTGAAAAACTTTCGTGGTGTTTTCGTAAATGGAATTTTCTTGATTAAAAGCATGCTTATGTGACTTATATGAGATGAGTTGAACTAAGTGCTGATGGTATGAGCTTTAGATGCCTTAAGCTTTGTAATTCATGGCTCGGATAGTTCTTGATAGGACCCCTTTGTATTAATGTAGGTGTTTGCCGAGTCGAGCTCGCCTTCTTATCAAAATTTTTTGTGCTTTATCCACCGCTTCGGTAACCATGTGGGTTATTCAAAATACCTATGCTATGAGTGATAAATATTTTATTTATGTGGGTATGATCAATGTATGCATGTGAACATGTAACCTTCGATGTAAGCTGTACCAGCAGTCGAACGTTTATCCCGTAGTTATAGAACGTACCCCGCGAGGGTAATCTCTTCTTTAGTCCTTTGCGAAGGAAGCGTCGCTTGTAAGTCCAGTGCGGTGCTCAGCTGACGATGTATTACCTGTCTAAAGCACTAGGTGCTTACAATTGAGCCTCCTACTGTTTGGGCATCGATGTAAGGCTCGAGCGAGGGCATTCGATACGTATACCAATAGTAGTCTATTGTTATAGGTGTTCACATGAGATATTTATGTACTTGGGATATGAGATGGGAGCGGGCATCTTACAGAATCCGAAATGGACGAATTAATGATTTGTGTTCATACTGCGACCATGCCATTTACTTTTTCATACTTTATTATTGTTCATGTGCATAGTGGTGAGCACCATGGTTTCCATTTGTGCTCACCCCCACCTGCTGTTCACGGATGCAGGTTAGTAAAGTGCGGGCACGACGGAGGGATGCGAGTGGTGGTCGGTCATTGGGACCGGTTTATTAATTGATGTGCTTCCGCTTTATGATATGATTTATGATTTATGAACTTATGAACTCTGAGGATTTGAATAATACTAAGGAGATACTCCTTAGAAACTATGATGATTTTATGGACCCGGTTTGGGTGTTTTAATGACATTATTGATGATCCCGTTTGGGAGATGGATTTATGATTGAAATTATGTGGATTATTGATGTTAGTTTTTGGAAATGAGTAA